ACAGACAGCTTCAATATCTTACAGACAGCTTCAATATATTACAGACAGCTTCAATATCTTACAGACAGCTTCAATATCTTACAGACAGCTTCAATATCTTACAGACAGCTTCAGTATCTTACAGACAGCTTCAATATCTTACAGACAGCTTCAATATCTTACAGACAGCTTCAATATCTTACAGACAGCTTCAATATCTTACAGACAGCTTCAATATCTTACAGACAGCTTCAATATTTTACAGACAGCTTCAGTATCTTACAGACAGCTTCAATATCTTACAGACAGCTTCAATATCTTACAGACAGCTTCAATATTTTACAGACAGCTTCAGTATCTTACAGACAGCTTCAATATCTTACAGACAGCTTCAATATCTTACAGACAGCTTCAATATTTTACAGACAGCTTCAGTATCTTACATACAGCTTCAATATCTTACAGACAGCTTCAATATTTTACAGACAGCTTCAGTATCTTACATACAGCTTCAATATCTTACAGACAGCTTCAATATTTTACAGACAGCTTCAGTATCTTACATACAGCTTCAATATCTTACAGACAGCTTCAATATTTTACAGACAGCTTCAGTATCTTACATACAGCTTCAATATCTTACAGACAGCTTCAATATTTTACAGACAGCTTCAGTATCTTACAGACAGCTTCAATATCTTACAGACAGCTTCAATATTTTACAGACAGCTTCAGTATCTTACAGACAGCTTCAATATCTTACAGACAGCTTCAATATCTTACAGACAGCTTCAATATCTTACAGACAGCTTCAATATCTTACATACAGCTTCAATATCTTACAGACAGCTTCAGTATCTTACATACAGCTTCAATATCTTACAGACAGCTTCAATATCTTACAGACAGCTTCAATATCTTACAGACAGCTTCAATATCTTACATACAGCTTCAATATCTTACAGACAGCTTCAATATTTTACATACAGCTTCAGTATCTTACATACAGCTTCAGTATCTTACATACAACTTCAATATCTTACATACAACTTCAATATCTTACATACAGCTTCAGTATCTTACATACAGCTTCAATATCTTACAGACAGCTTCAATATTTTACAGACAGCTTCAGTATCTTACAGACAGCTTCAATATCTTACAGACAGCTTCAATATCTTACATACAGCTTCAATATCTTACAGACAGCTTCAATATTTTACATACAGCTTCAGTATCTTACAGACAGCTTCAATATCTTACATACAGCTTCAGTATCTTACATACAGCTTCAGTATCTTACATACAGCTTCAGTATCTTACATACAGCTTCAGTATCTTACATACAGCTTCAGTATCTTACATACAGCTTCAGTATCTTACAGACAGCTTCAATATCTTACATACAGCTTCAGTATCTTACATACAGCTTCAATATCTTACATACAGCTTCAATATCTTACATACAGCTTCAGTATCTTACATACAGCTTCAGTATCTTACAGACAGCTTCAATATCTTACATACAGCTTCAGTATCTTACATACAGCTTCAGTATCTTACATACAGCTTCAGTATCTTACAGACAGCTTCAATATCTTACATACAGCTTCAGTATCTTACATACAGCTTCAGTATCTTACATACAGCTTCAATATCTTACATACAGCTTCAATATCTTACAGACAGCTTCAATATTTTACATACAGCTTCAGTATCTTACATACAGCTTCAGTATCTTACATACAGCTTCAGTATCTTACATACAGCTTCAGTATCTTACAGACAGCTTCAATATTTTACATACAGCTTCAGTATCTTACATACAGCTTCAATATCTTACATACAGCTTCAATATCTTACAGACAGCTTCAATATTTTACATACAGCTTCAGTATCTTACATACAGCTTCAGTATCTTACATACAGCTTCAGTATCTTACATACAGCTTCAGTATCTTACATACAGCTTCAGTATCTTACATACAGCTTCAGTATCTTACATACAGCTTCAGTATCTTACATACAGCTTCAGTATCTTACATACAGCTTCAGTATCTTACATACAGCTTCAATATCTTACATACAGCTTCAGTATCTTACAAACAGCTTCAGTATCTTACATACAGCTTCAGTATCTTACAAACAGCTTCAATAAGTTGTACAAGTTGGCAGTAAATGACAAAAGTTTCATTGGAATTCTTCAGATAATGCAGCAGTTGTCTTATTATATTTGTCTAGCAACTCGGGGGTTTTAAGAAACGTTTATACACTCAAAAAATTTGCAAAACTTCATATATTAATGTTTAGAGTGGTTAAAAATCACTTTAGAAACTACATGAAGGTCATTTAAGCTGTATAATAGCACCAGCCAAGATAAAAATTAATCCATAAAAGAGGGACTGTGCTTAACTCTCAGTGGATATATATACCGAGAGATATATACCATTCAGTGATCGAGTATATATGTTACTTATATACAAATAATTTTCATATAGGAAACAAACTTTTGATGACGTTCCGGTCCGACGTGAACCATTTACTATGTGCGGGATATTTGTGTATTGTTCCAGTCACGGTATTGTGCCTTTTTATTCCTTTTTACTTAATTACGAAAGATGATGAGGAAGAAAATATAATAAGAAATTTGGGAGATGAATACGTGTGCAGCATCACTCATGGTCGACATTGTTCAGGTGATGTGAGGGACCACAAGCACTCTGCTCTCACCACATTCATAACCATGTCCAGATATCATTTTATAATGAAAATATATTAGAATCAGTATTTTTTTCTGGATTCAACCATTTTTGATGTTAAAGATGTGTGTGTGTGTGTGTGTGTGTGTGTGTGTGTGTGTGTGTGTGTGTGTGTGTGTGTGTGTGTGTGTGTGTGTGTGTGTGTGTGTGTGTGTGTGTGTATGTGTGTGTGTGTGTGTCCCAAGGAAAGCTGTACTCTAACAGCATCGTCAGGAGATAGGTAAACGTGGCTGGCAAACTCCGTAGACTTTGTGAGCAAATTATTTTTTTTTTTTTGTTTTTTTACACACACACACACACACACACACACACACACACACACACACACACACACACACACACACACACACACACACACCACACACACACACACACACACACACACACACACACACACACACACACACACACATATATATATATATATATTTATATTTATATATATATATATATATATATATATATATATATATATATATATATGTATATATATATATATATATATATATATATATATATATATATATATATATATATATATATATATATATATATATATATATATATATATATATATTGTTGCTTAGTTATTTTTTTTATTCATAACGGTGCGTATATCTGCTGGTACATATTTTGAATTGTGTTGGTCAGTAGAGCGGTGGTGTTGGTCAGTAGAGCGGTGGTGTTGGTCAGTAGAGCGGTGGTGTTGATCATAGGGAAGAAGACAGTCAACGACTATGAAGGTTTTTGAATGCCGTCAGAAATATGTCGTAATTTCTTTGAGAGACACACTCTGAGAGATACAAATCTCTCAGTTTTTATGCACTGGAAGATACACACGTTTCAAGAAACAAAAATGTGAGAGAGATATATCTCTTGGTGAATAAATAGAGATATACACCTCTCTGTATATATACGCTGAGACACAAACCTCTTTGTGTATATACGCTAAAAGATATTCACCTCTCGGTGTATATATTCTGTGATACACACCTTTGGGTGTATATAAGTTGAGATATACACCTCTTGGTGAATGTACACTGTGATACACATCCGGCGTATAGACAGATACGCATTTCTGGAAACAATAATACTGAGTTACGCATCTTTTAGTGTATAACTGATTGAGACATACACACACCTCTTGATTAATGTACACTGAACTATACACTTCTCGGTGTATATTCTTTGAGGATACATCTCTCAGGTTAAAACACCGAGAGATACAATCCCTCTCAGTGCATAACACTAGAAGATACACACCTCTCGGTGTATATATAAAGCTTTTTAAGATAAATTTGCTTAAGTTATCGACAATGATTTTTGTAAAACAATTGTTGCAAATATCCGAGCATGGTGAAGTAACGTAGGTTAGTTTAGATGTAAAATTATAAAAAAATGGAAAAAACTTATTAATTCAAGTGAATATATCCATCAAACTTATAATTAACTTCTCGAAAATAATTTTTAATACAGCCTGGTTATTTGGCCAATTTTTCCCTTATTTGCATAATGAACGTGTCCTTTTTCAAGTATATTTACTTATTTCTTTCTTCTTAAGTAAAGATTATTATTATTATTATTATTATATTATTATTATTATTATTATTATTATTATTATTATTATTATTATTATTATTATTATTATTTTTATTAATATTTTATTATTATTATTATTATTATTAGTAGTAGTAGTAGTAGTAGTAGTAGTATTACGGAAGCTCCTGAAAATAGGTTCTAATTAGATTTGATTCGAATTGGATAGCTCCAACTCCTCGGATCAGAGCCCTTCATCAGCATCAAGGCACTCACTCCCCCCTGAGGTGTTTGGAAGAAATGAGAGTCCCGGGGGGTGATCAAGGACAAGCAAACAAACACACACATACATACACACATGCATATCTTTTTTCACAGTGATACACGTCTTTGGTACATAACATGCAGCATTTATTACCAAAAAAAAAAGAAGATCGTTGTTCTAGTCCATATTCGCAATCCTGAGTATTACAACGTTTATGCGTAATGCGGAGCCTTTGTGGAGCCCCTCCCATCCCTCCCCCCCCTCCCCCCCCTCCCAGGCTCCTCCCGTCAATGACATTATTTACACTTCACAAAGTGCACTCACACCGCTAAGTTAATGCGTCCACCAACTTGATAGTAACAACCGGTACTCACAGCAGAAATTTTCCGATGTTGGAAAAAAATTCCTGTGATCACTTGAAGACTGGTCGCACCTCCCAGGAAACCACTGCCATTATTATTATTATTATTATTATTATTATTATTATTATTATTATTATTATTATTATTATTATTATTATTATTATTATTAGTTACCTCTCTTATAAAGCTTGTCTGTATACTGAAGTTTTTAGCGCTAAATCCAAATTTTAATAACGCATAAAAAGGACTTCATATAACGTGTTATGTAATTTTAATGGATTTTTTTCAGTCGCAATTACCAAAAAAAAAAAATCACTAAATATGAATGAGGTTCATAAGAAAGTTAACCATACTCAAATTTTAGCAAGCTTAAGTTAAGCTTCCATAATTTTAGCAAGCTTAAGTTAAGCTTCCATAATTTTAGCAAGCTTAAGTTAAGCTTCCATAATTTTAGGTTACGCTTAGGTTACGCTTCCATATTAGTTCTGGAACGAAATCATTTTTTATAGTCATGAAAGGGGCGAAATAACACAATGGCATATAAAGCAAAATGCGTAACTGTTTCAGTGTTGTCCTTGAGGATGAGTGGGGACGAGTCTTCATGTGGGTCACAATACAATACTCTTTGTGTTTTGCTTTTGATTTTATTGTAAGACTGTATCGCCAGTCTGAACATCAGACTGTCGCTGCTCCTGTTGTATGATCCATGATCCCCGTCCGCCATTCTGTGCTACGTTTGATGGGATCACTGTTATTGATTTTTACTCAGCAGCAGCAACAGAGTGATCACTGTGGATGTGATCTGCGCTCTGCAGCAGTCACTGTGGATGTATGATCTGCGCTATGCAGCAGTCACTGTGGCTGTGTGATCTGCGCTCTACCTCAGTCACTGTGGCTGTGTGATCTGCTCTCTACAGCAGTCACTGTGGATGTATGATCTGCGCTCTACAGCAGTCACTGTGACTGTGTGATCTGCTCTCTACAGCAGTTACTGTGGCTGTGTGATCTGCGCTTTGCAGCAGTCACTGTGGCTGTGTGATCTGCGCTATGCAGCAGTCACTGTGGATGTGTGATCTGCGCCATGCAGCAGTCACTGTGGATGTGTGATCTGCGCTTTCCGTAACTGTTGTGAGTGGGGGTAAGAACACCTAGCTCTTCTACTGAGTCGAGACAAACAGCGCCAAGAGTGTAATTACATAGGCAGGTGAAGGTGATGAGATGGGTGTGGTACAAAAGCTGGTCCATCGTGGCTGAGCTTCGGCAGACCCTCAGAAACACTGATACAGTTGATCTTTGAGGGGAATCTGAACTTGAGATCTGTAGTTTCTCGTTGTCGGTTGTGATTGAGTTAGTCTTCATTGGTTGTTGTATTGTTAGTGCTAATTGCGGTAAGAGTGGTAGCAGCGGTAGTAGTATTTTTTTTTTTGTGGTCGTAGTAACAATGATATCATAATCGGTCTGGATATTTGCAGTTGTGGGTTTGAGTGAATGAGACAGAAAAGCTGATCAGTTAAAGGCAAGCAACTGGTTGAACTGGGCTCAGTATAGACTATTTTGGCAGCGTGTATAGCTTCGTGCAGCAAAACAAGAGAGCAGTTTGTGTACTTTCGGGTACAGAACTTTAAGCCGATTTAATATAAGAAGCCAAAAAGTGTCCAGGGGCCACTAGCAGAGAGTTTGTTGGGAAAGGTAGTGGTCAGTGATCTGTTTAATGGAGGTAGGATATAGGCGGCACATAAAATTATGTTTATGTTGAGTACTTTTTAGAGGGTATTGAAATCCAATCCTGGAAAGCGGTGAATAAGCATGTAGTCTAAAAGTCACTTGATAGCCTAGAAATCACAAAACACACACTGATTGCGTAGATGGAGACGCACCAGCCCGAAGTAGTGGAGATTAATTTTCGAAATGGTGTAGCAGAGTGACAGAGTAAATGGCTTTCATAACTGGTCGTCTCTCAAACAACGGTTGATATAGCACTCTGAAGCTCAACTGAGATGAAAAAACAGCAGAGAATAGCGTCCCAGGGTCGCTCAGTCACAATAGGCAGGCAGCATGGGTAGCTTTCAGAATGCCGTCAAGCGGCGGTGGATAGCTCCAGATATTCCGTAGACACCGTTGTAGCAGTGGAAATGACACTGGAAAAGGATAAAGCAACTGGGGCGTGAAGTATGCAGGAAACACGGCTCACCCGCCTCAGGAGTTCTGAGAATGAACTCTCATATGACGGTTAAGGTTTCCAGACTGACTGAAGCGAAGTAAACAGAGTTTGCACTGGTACGGTTTCTCCCCGGAATGAATCCTCAGGTGTTTGGTGAGCGTCGAAGAGTCACTGAAGGCTTTTTTACACATCCGGCAGCGGTAGGGTCGCTCGCCCGAGTGTGTGCGCATGTGCGTGGTGACGGAGGACGACTGGGAGAACTTACGGTCACAGATGGGACAACGGAAGGGTTTCTCCCCGCTGTGGGTCCTCACGTGCGCAGTAAGATTGGCCGCTTGGCTGAACGATTTGTTGCAGTCGTTGCACCTGCAAGATAGACACTTGTAGCGATGGATCTCTATCACCTACCTCAAATTTAATATATGGATACATAGTTCAGTTTTATTGATGAGTGCTTATTTTTTTTTTTTTTGGTAGTGGAAATGTTTTTTCCTGCAATATATACAACTCTCTATAGAAGGGGATGTTTTGATGCAGGTATTGGTGGGGGTCCTAATCCAAGGGATTGGGTGCTACTCACTCCTTCCTCGAATTGAATCTGATTACCTCCTGTACCCCAACTGCTTTATGAGCCTTACGGGTTTAGCGCTTCCCTTGAATGTAACAATGATGATGATAATAACAATAACAATAATAATGATAATCATGATGAGAGTAAGTCCAAGGTACATTGAGAGAGATGGAGAGAAAAAATGTACTAAATTAATATCGTACAGTGAAAGCTTTATGAAGCCGATAAAGCTCTCACTGAGCGAAACATCGCTTCAGTAATGGCGTGTTCTCCCGGTGTGTCTTGGCTTTACTCCTACGTGTAGGCTTACTGGCAGTCTTCCATGAATAAACACACAATCTTACAGGTAGGACTTACCTATAGGGCTTCTCACCGCTGTGAGTCCTCAAGTGGGTCTTGAGGGTGGAGGGTCTGGCGTAGGTCTTACCACAGATCCTACAGAGGTTGGGCTTAAGGGCGTCTGACAGGAGAGGCTTGGAGATATCGATGGTAGTATTACAGGAGAGGCCAGACACACTCATAACGCTGCCCACGCTCGGACGCCGACGGAGGGCGGAGAGTGTCGGAGACAGCTGCCCACCTGCAGGGTTTATACAGAGAAACTACGAGACGTCAGCCTTCAAAAAGCACGAGTAACATCACAAACTTTAACGCATATATTTTTTTGTTCACACTGACAACACGAACTGATTGGATGAATTTGGATGAGGTTTCGGTCCGTTCTGGACGGAGTGGTTGAGGACTCACCTAAATGCCGTTTGGTGTTCACTTCTAATCTGTGGGTTAACTGGCAATTGTTGTAGCCAAGGAATTGTGACTTACAGTCTCATAAGAACTGACTTGAATGATAATGTTTATATAGCAAATGTCCTCCATTCTCAAAGTCTTAAATTATTGTAATAATAATAATAATAATAAAATAATAATAATAATTAATAATAATAATAATAATAATAATAATAATAATAATATTATTATATTATTATTATTATTATTATTATTATTATTGTATTATTATTATTATTATTTAAACAGTATGCTTTAATTTTTATTATTTTGCTTTTATTATACTAGTTTTAATTTCGTTGGAATAGTATGACACTGAGAGGATTATTTTGGCTTTACTGACCTCGTTATTACGGCTTAATTGTTATTATTACTAGTATCAGTCAGTGGTAGACTCTTCAGATGACCAGACCAATATTTACTGGTCCATTACTCAGTACCCTACCACTAGACCATAACTGGGACACTGAGTTAGCATTAGACCAACACCGGACCAACAGTGGGTCATGGGACCATCACTGGGCCACTGAACTAGTGTTGAACCAACATTGGGCCATCACTGGGTC